AGAGGCTAGAAAAGGTTAAAAAAGGGGGGGTACCTAGCAAGCATACCCATTAATAGGTATACTTTGCTAGGTAGTGTTAATAACTTAGCTAATACTAGGCGGAATAAGCTAATTCTTTTTTTATTAGAAGGCGCAATACTAGGCGCTTCTATCAAATAATAGATTATGTAAGCGTATCTCTGCTAGTTAAGAAGCTATAAGCCAAAACGTAAAAAAGCATACCCTACCCATCCGCCAGCCTACGCCGCGACCCAACGACAGTCCTCAGGGACCAAGCCGACTGGACTGGCTGGCTCTCGGAGCTACATGCGAGATGCCTGTCGCGCAATATCTAGGACAAGATTAACCCAAAGACAACTACACCACTACTATCAAAGCCACTCTTGCTAAGGGCTCTAACTATTACTAACTACGCGCTAGCCACAAACACTAACATACTATTAAGGCTAACTAAGCTATTAACAACAGGCTAGAAGGTATTTAAGGAAGACATTAAGTACTATAAAGTACTTATTAAATAATATAAGAATAATTAACACAAATATAAGAAGGAGGAAGCAAGCCTTTACTACATTATTGTGTTTATTTAGTTAACTATGTTGCCACATCTACTGCGCACATGCTGTCTTCCTAAGAAACTACTATAACAGTAGATCACAGACCTACAACTTACTATTAGGGTTAACAAACAAATTAAATAAGAACAAGCCTAAGATAGATACCTCTTAGCACTTAAGCTAATAAGAAGCACATTACAATAGGATACCTAGCTAGCTAAGTGTAACTTGGCAGCTATAGAAGCAGAGACGTACAAAGTTGCTAAATTATTGCAATTAAATGTAATAACAAAGGACTTCCTAACAGCTATAAATAGGGTTGCGCCTATCTAGGCTACAAGCTTTTAAGATAGCAGATACTTTAAATCTAGTATAAGTTAGAAGGAGATAATAAAACGCTACTAAGAGTATATAATAATAAATTATCCCCTTAGATTAGGGCAGTATAAGGCCTTTATAGCTAATAATATAGTATTTCTTGCTAAAGGGGGTGCAGCCTCCTAGAGCTATAAAGGGGACGCCTAACATGCTATAAGCATGCTATCTAACTAGGGCAGGCCTTAATATTAATTATAGTAGGTAGGAAAACTACTATACTTAAGCAGCCTTTAGATTAAGAGCCTACTTCTACTAGGGGAGCTAAATGCCCTACATGTAGACAACGCCACTCTATATAGGATTGCTACTATGTTAATTAAGACAGAGCTCCTAAGTAGTAGACACTAAATAAGATTATTTCTAAACTTATTAAGTTTAAGTGTAAGAAAGATATTACCTTTTAAGAGCTACTTTGTGCATAAAGTAAGAGTAGATTAAGAACACTAGTAGTAAAGCACTTATATACCCCTACCCTAGAAATCCTAGATAATTAACTAGAGGGCTAAGAAATTGCTAACATTAAAGCAGTGCTTAGCATAGTAAACTAACAGGATACTACTAACTATCTACTATAGAAGTTATTTATACTTAACTTAGGTTCTACCTGTTATATTACTAACAACCCTAACTACATCTATAGGTTCTAACAGCTATTACCTAGAGACTTTATATAGGCTAGGAATTCTAAGGTGCTAGTTAGAGGATATAGATTAATTAATCTACTCCTAAGGAGTAGAGCTAGGACAACTAAGGTTACCCTTATAGATGTAGCAATTTGCCCAGACCTGCTATGCAACCTAGTGTCCTTCTACCTACTATAAAACAGAGGCATATAGTAGGACACACAAGTAGACCTAATAACTCTCTAATAAGCAAATAGCTAAGTAATTAGAGTAGTATTAGAAATACTTAGCTAGTAGGTGCTTAAGTATAAACTATCCCTACTAGCTACTAACTACACACACAAAATCACTACATGCACTAAGAGAGGACTATAGAAGGCCTTAGCAATGTAGTAGCATAAGTAACTTAGTCACCCTAGTCCTGCTGCAATTAAACACATTATCTAGCAGACTTAGGGGGTGTAGATCTAAGGCATTACTATAGTTAAATACAACGCTTATAGAAGAGCTAAATTATAACAGTAAATTAGCTACGCACTAAGAATTAATAATAACAGACCTAGAGAAAGACTTAGTGTTAACTTCTACTCCTACAAAGTATAAGGAGTTACTAAAGAAAAGAGCTAGATGCTTATTACTAATAGGTTCTTAGGCCTATAGTAGGACCTCTACTTTATAGATTATTGCATAGTAAAGTTAATTATTAAGGCACTGTTAATGTTTATCCTATTCTTAAAAAATCACTACAATATCTTAGTTAAGACTATTAAGGTCAACAACAAGATAGCTATAGTTAAACTAGGCGTATTAAAATAGCTAGCAACACAAGGAATTATTGTGGAGCCTTTAGCGCTAGACACACAAGCACAGAACAGTAACGTAGAACGCTTAGGGGGTGTGAACAAGGAGAAAGCTCGCGCAATACAACTTAATGCTAACCTCTCCTAGGAACTGTGGCTAGAAATTACAAGGGCGGCAGTATACCTCTATAATTAAACGCTAAACTACGCAAACTATTAGAAAACACTATACAAAATATTCTTTATACAAGTTACCTTTAGTAATAGAATAGTAATATTACTATAAAAACCTAACCTTATACACCTAAGAGTATATAGTTGTAAAGCATTTGCTATAATAGATAATATATATAGAGGCAAATTACATCTTTAATAACTAGACCTAAAGGCCTAGATTAGCTATCTAGTAGGCTACTAGTTATTAAATATCTATTAAATCTAGATACTATTACTTAGTAAGGTAATAAGTACTTAAGATATTATATTTAATAAAGATATAGTATTTAATAGGAGAATTAAGGACCTTATAGAGAACCTTATACATAATACACTTAAAGAAATAGTAATATATATATAATCTATTAAGCTACTAACACCTACCTAGTAACTAGAAATAGATTCCTTTTATAAGGATAAAGCCCTAGCAGAGCTATTACTATAAGACAAAGTAGACCTGCTAGGCTACTATTATAGACAGAAGATACAGGATAGCTATCCTACCCCTCTATTAACACTACCACCTGCAGCACTACTTGTAGGTATTATAGCTAGTAATTAAACAACTCTAACGCAACAAGCGTCCTTAACTACTGTCCTGTAGGCAGCATTATTCCTTGCAGGAACCTAAGCTAGACGTGTTAAAAACATACAGAGGAGAAGTTATAGACAAGGCTAAGATAATAAGAATACTTACTAAAGGCTTAAAGCCCTATTAAAGCTAACTTCTACCTCTACCTACATTCTAAACTAAGCTTAAGGATTACCCTATAGGTAAACTCTTTTAAGAAGCTAAGCAAGAGCACCTTACAAGCAACTAAGAAATAAAATTATAGTTAGAAGTACTACTTTAGAAAATTAGACTAATAGGATAATAGATCCTTAACTATATATAGGTATAACGTATTCCACCACCCAACAGCTCAAACCACCCAACAGCTCAAAATGTCTTGGCACAACGAACACCCTCTTTGTTGCAACATGCCTCAACCACATAACGTGTTACTACGTAAACACAAAGGTAGAGTTAACCTTGCCCTCAAAGCTCTTTATTTAAAACAATTTAAAAGCTAGAGAGCAGCTACGCGCGCTTTTAACGTTAAACAACACATTCTCTCTGCATGCGTTAGAGGAGCCCCATTTATCCTTAAACAAGCACCTAATGGCCGCAAACTTACGCTTACAGAAGAGCAAACAATCGTCTAATATATCCTTAACCTAGATTCGCGAGGATTCGCGCCCTGGCTGTGCGAGGTAGCAGATATGGCTAATAAAGTGTTGGGTGTACGCGGTGGGCAGCCGGTTGGCAAGCACTGGGCTGAGCGCTTTGTAACGCGCTCAGCTGAGCTTAAGATGGCCTTCAATCGAGCTAAAGATAGGCAGAGGATACTGCAGGAGGATCTAGAGACAATTAGCGCGTGGTTTAAGCTGGTAGAGGACACTAGAGCTAAGTACAGCGTACACGACTACGACATGCACAACTTTAACAAGACTAGCTTCTAGATAGGTGTTATTGGCTTAATAAAGGTTGTTACAGGCGCAGAGAGGTGTACTCAGCCTAAGCTTGTTCAGCCAGGTAATTGCAAATAGGTAACAGTTATCTAGAGCGTCTGCGCTGCTAGATCTTGTACCCCACCTTTTATTATCTACAAAGGACGCGTTCACATCTCTGCCTAGTACGAGGAGGCAGATATACCGCGCAATTAGAAGCTCTTAGTCTCTCAGAACAGCTGGACGAACAATGCGCTTAGTCTAGAGTGGTTAAAGCACTTTAACGCGCATACAAAGGCGGGCTAGGTAGGGGCGTACAGGCTGCTTATTTTAGACGGCTATAAGAGCCACCTTAACCAGGATTTCAAGGACTACTGCCTTAAACATAAGATCCTTACCCTCTGCATGCCACCTTACTTGTTGCACATCCTCTAGCTACTTAATGTAGTCTGCTTCTTGCTGTTAAAGCGCAAGTACTCTTAGTGCGTACAAGACTTAGCACGCAAGCACATCTTCTACATTAACAAAGAAGGCTTCCTACTAGCCTTTAAAGACGTGTTTTGCAACATGTTTATAGAGGCAATCTGTTGCAAGGCCTTTAAGGCATCAGGACTTGTCCCTCTTAACGCGCAGGTTGTATTAGATCGCCTTAAAGTGCAGCTGCGTACCCTGCTAGAACCCCTCCTCCTAGAGACACTGTAGTAGTTAAAGACTCTAAGCAATACACATGAGTTTAGATCGCAATTAAAGCTTGTACGCGAGTCCTTTACATGTTCTCCTATTACTGCGCAGGCAGGCTTCTCTTAGCTTATTAGAGGCGGCGAGCTTATGCTGCATCAGAACGCGCTTCAAGCAGCCCGGATTACTGAGCTTGAAGAGCAATTAGCAGTGATGACCAAAAGGAAATCGCGCAAAAGGAAGCGGATCCAGCATGGCGGCACAATGGAGTATGGTGAGGCAGCAGCCCAGGTGGCCGCAGAGGCCTCTATAGCCGCTGAGCGGTCGAAGAAGGCTTGTCGTGGTGGTGATCAAGAGAGAGCCCAACCAGCTTTACGGCGCTGTAGGAACTGCGGCAAGACTAGGCACAACGCGCGAACGTGTAAAAAGGATGTAGAGGAGACTTCTAAATTAGAGGTTAGTACAGCGTACGCAGGCTCCTTGTATAATAGTGATGAAAATAGAAATTTGTAACTAGTGTTGGTTGTGCCAAGACATTTTGAGCTGTTGGGTGGTTTGAGCTGTTGGGTGGTGGAATACGTTATACCTATAAGCTTAATAGATATTATGAACTACTAAAGTGTAAGGTGTAACTAGTAGTTAGAGGTAATTAATAACATAATATTATATTACAAGACACCTACACAGCTATGCTTGCTAGCTAATCCTTTTAAATAATAATAGCTATAGCAGCTTACTATAATATAGAGCTTAAACAATACAACGTTACTAACATGTTTATTCATGCTACAATGGACAGAGAGGTCTACATAAGGATGCCACAAGGCTATTAGAAGCCTAGCATAATACTGCAAGTAAACAAGGCACTTTATGGCCTACGCATCTCTCCCCTCCTCTAGTAGAAGAACTTTACTACAACACTAAAAGCACTAGGTTTCTAGACTATGCCTTATAAACCCTGCTGTCTAACTAAGGGTAGTATTATTATCTTCTTTTATATTAATAATATTATCCTTATATATAATAAATTAAAAGAGTAAGAGGTAATATAGATAATTAGCTATATATAGAGCAAGTACACCTGCACAGGAGGGCATAACCTACAGTAGTTCCTTAGCATAGAGATTATACAAGACTAAGTAAGTAAGAAAATCTACCTATCTTAGGCAGCATACTTAGACAAAATTAGTTGCCTTGCTAAGAACACAACTATACAACATAACACTCTAATAGGTACAACTAAACTACAGCTAAGGAGCAGACTAGCAGCGCTAGCAGAAATTAACAAGTATCAACGCAAAATTGGATCACTGCTGTTCGCTGCAGTCACCACGCGACCTGGCATTGCGTTTGCCACATTAAGGCTTGCCTAGTTCCTCACTAATCCAGGCATCAGCCACCAAGATACTGTGGACTGGGTCCTTCTATATCTACTTAACACTAAACAGCGATCACTGCAGCTTAGAGGAGGCATTGGCCTCTAGGTAGCAAGTAACGCGTCCTTTGCTAACAACACTATAGACAGAAAGAGCTCCTAAGGCTACGCAATTAAACTCTTTAGCAGCCTTATTGCATAGAAAGCAAACAAGCAGGATATAGTAATAATATTAATAACTAAGGCTAAGCTTCTTACTCTTACATAGGTTATAAAAGAAGTACTCTTTATCTTAAGGCTCTTGCGCAAACTACATGTTAATATAGGCACACACACTATTATAATATAATATAATAATAAACAAATAATTTAACTAGTTACTAAGGAAGTGTTATAACTATATACTAAACTTTAGCATGTAGATATCTACAACTACTAGCTCTAACAGGAGGTAGCTGCTAGAAAGATTATTATAGAACATGTCTAGTCTGCAAGCATAATAGCAGATAGACTTACAAAGGTACTCCTAGTAAATATGTAGGAAGGTTTCCTCTAGCAACTTAGTCTAGTGAATAGGGAGTTAACAGAAGTGCTAAATAGCGTGCCTCTAGATAGGATTTAAGAATAGATTAAGGACCTTGCACGCGCATAAACAGTTAGCTTAAAGAGTTTCTAAGCTAAAGGGGGTGTGTTTAATAATAGTAAGCAGTAAGAGGTTAGATCTGCGCAATTAAGCAGGGACCTGTCGTGCAGCCAATCAGCAGTTGCCAGGTCGATTAAGCGAGACCTGGCAACTCCTGATTGGCCCGCACACCGGCGGCCGCGAACAGCGCTAATTTCCCCCCCACTTCAATCCTGTAGCAACCAGCACGACGCTGACGCAAAACACGATCGCCACGATCATCAATATATTATCATACCACCTAAGATCTCGTTAAGCACATACTCTGGCTCACAGTACGAGCATCTGACA